TGTTTATGAAGGGGACACGTAATAATTAAAAAATGTTTGTAGGTGTCAGATACTCTACTCGACCAATCCATATTCTTCCCCCTTAATCTGCTCAGAGCAAAAAAATAAACGAACCCTTCGTCTTACGTTATTGCAATGCCAATATTAATAAGAATTTTTCAAAATGAATAATTAAATTTTGCCTCCATCATCAATTCGCGCTGGTGTCCCCCAAGATTCTCCTCTTTCCCCATATTGTTCAATATCTTCACAGTTGACGTCCCCTATTGAGCTAACCACTCAACGGCATTATACACCGAAGACCCCGCATTCGTCCTCTTTCGTCAAACTCACATGTATCTGACTGCATTTCTCAACTTCGATCAGCTTTAGACTCCTATCACAATCGGACCTGTACCTGTGTACAAAATATTATCACCTCAAAATGTGAGGGAAAGATTTACACTTTACGGCTAATTTAAAACTTTCAAAATATTTCTATAAACAGATCAATCAACGACCCCCCTACCCCAGAAAATAAACCTATCAAACATCCCGGAATCTTGTTTATCTCGGCTGTCATGGAAACCCCATATCGTGAACAAAATCAATAATGCACAAGCCGCAATGTTCAAATTATATCTGTTAACAAATTTAACATTTTCCCGCAAGGATGATCTTACACTATTTTTATATAAATCTGTCCTTCGCTCACATCTAACCCCACTGAGTTTCCCCATTTGGTGAGCTGCTACTCCTACTATAGTACTTAAACCACTTCAAACTTTTTAAAACAATATAACCTGTACTGCAGCAAAAACCACTTGGTTCGTTTCTAATAATCCATTGCATAAAGAATTTGAGCTATCCACGACAACCCGATTAATTTTCTAACTTTCCAATACATCCTTGGAAACATTATCGTCTTCTCCAGCCATATTTCATACTTGGAGAATTCTACGACAAAGGGAATATTTAATCCATATTCCTCAAGGACTACTTCAGGTCACTATAATGGTTCATTTCGTCACCTAACCTAATGGGAATAATTCCTTTCTATTACCATTATTACCCCATCACTCGAACCACATAATCTGAAAATTGAAATTGAGGAATCCAGAGGGCGTAGCCACGCTTTTATTAAGGTTGACGCTAAGTTAGCTTAGTAATATTAATGTCAAAACGCTCTTGTTAAAAAACGCTGTTTGTTAAAAACTCTATGTGTCTTTAAATATAAAATAAAGGGAAATAAATAATCGTTCTAATTCTTACTAATCGAAACCCTAATTTTCTAAAAATTTGAAGCTAGTGGGAAGCGTTCAATTCTTACTTTGAAAATGTAGCTCTTGAAGTTTGTATTCTCCAACCTACAACTTTGATAAAATGAAATGTCGTGTCATATCTGACAGTCATATACATACACATACACATACACAGTCATATCTGACAGTCTTACAGTCATAAACAGAAAGATGTCGTTTCAAAACGTACCAACATGGAATGGTAAGTCTGTGCTATTCTTTAGGACCTTTAGTTTGCTTTCTCGGATATCACAACTACACACGTAGCGGGTCAAATGATCGAGATCGTTAGGGCAGTAGTGCCGTAGCGGTCTCGGGCCAGAAGACCGCGGTTTCGAGCCCCACCTCGGGCATGGATGTATTTATGTACCTCTGTATGTGTGTACTGACCTTTCATCCCTCACCATCTTGGTCATCTCAACGTCCATATCCCCAGAGCTAACAACCTTGGGAAATAAAAATGGGGATTCCGCTAAAATGCTGATCCCCCCCTTCAGAAAGGTACTCGCACCTGCGGAAGCAAGATACACGCGTAGTTCGAGATGGCCTACTCACTAAAAAAACTACACACGTAATATAGAGAAATATATGTGTAGCTGCATCAACAAGCTGAGATTTTTCGGCAGAGAAATTCGATTTGTAGATCCCTGATACAGAAAAATGTGGAAATTCCTTGTTCCCGTAAATAGTAAATTAATTCCTAGAATACGCTTGTAGCCAGACTTCACGTTTTGTGGGTTCTTGATACTAAAAAATTGATTTTCTTTAAAAAGTCTACCGTCCGTCTCCTTGTGAACAATCGTAACCGCTAAACCGTAAATAGGATTTTCATCAAAACTGATATTCCGCGATAGATCTGGTTGATGTTGCGGCCCCTTGAATTTGAAACGGATATTTTATTTTTTGAGGTACGTTATGTGAAGTTTGAAGGTAATTTTCAATTTTCCTTTATAAAAAATTGCTCAAAATGTTTGAAATAAATTTTTTATCATATAGAGGAAAGTACGTTTATACAAATGATACAAGTTGATTGAAGTCAGGACTCTGTGCAGTCCAGTCCAATTACAGGGACCTTATTTTCGTTTAACAACTCCGCCACAGTCGCTTCTGTGTGAACAGATGCTCGATTGTATATGTTCGATGCAATCGCCATCCCCGAATTGCTATTCAATAATGGGAAGCAAGAATGCATTTAATACATTAACGTACTAGGCCTGTGCAGTGATAGTGCTGCACAAAACATGAATGGGTGCAAGCCCCCTCCATAAAAACCACGACCGCATCATATCATTTTGGACGTGTCCGGATACTTTTGATCACATAATGTATGAAACCCCCAAAGTCACATTGCAATTCTTCCATTACGGGGCCGAAAAATTGAAAATATGTGAAAAAAAACAACTTTTAGGTGCAGATAGACAGTTAGCAGCCAGAAGAGGGTGGGGCAAACCCGAATATCTCAGATTAAAGATTTCAGGAATCTAACTAGTACGAGAAGCTAACTGCCATTCTCTAACATTATGTATTCTATGTTAAATACGCACTGCAATCCTTATTATGATTTTTTATTTCCTTTTTTTTCTCTCCGTATCTTCGCCTTTGGCTCTGTTTTTGACTTACTTCTGCCTCTCTTTGTCTTTATCTTTCTTTCTGTCTGATTCTGAAACTCTCTGTATTTGTGTATGTGTATCTTTCTCTGGTGTGTGTGTGTGTGTGTGTGTGTTTCTACAGGCGTCTCTCTCTCTCTCTCTCTCTCTCTCTCTCTCTCACACACACACACACACACACTTTCTCTCTCTAACACTCTCTCCTCGATGGCTCTACAGACCAGCACAGGCTGTAATGTGACCGGACATACGCGTACTTGACAGGCTGTGCTGCCGGAGTGTGTTGTGATAATGGAAAGTGGACCACTTAGGGATCGTGCATCATCCCATTCCTTCGACCCTGATGACGGGAGTGGGGATGGAACGGGAACGAAGGAACCGGCCGCGGTACGTAGTCGTTGTTTAAGCGAGCATGCACCCGGCATTTATCGAGTAGAACCACTGAAATAACCGATCTGAGAAGCTGGCACCTACAATTCTTATTCAGGAAGTGTCATCGTCCGATTGAGGTATTGATATGTATATAACCCACCGCCGTCTGCATTCGAACTTAGAATAAATTTTCCACGGTTGACCCACTACTATGCATTCATAGCGGACCAGGAAAGTCTCTCTGCACCGATCCGAGACAGAGCCTGCCGCTGCTCCGGCATCCGCCTCCAGCTTCGCTGCCGTGCGCGGCGCTAGTGTCACCTCGCCTTTTCCTTCCCTACCTGCCTTTTCTTCCCTGAATTGCCTTGTTCTCGTAACACAAACATAATTTCCTTTGTTATCACCCTCCTAGGCGTGATGAGACTTTTCTAGCGCACTGCTGGCCAACTCACCGGTTCGTTTTCTTTATCTGCCTCGTGTTAATTTAAGTGCCGGGAAACAATTATAACTCTATTCTTTCGAAATGCCTTCGAACTCATATCATTCCTAATTTAAGGCTTCCGGAAATTGCGTTGCGTGAGCCGCGTGTGCCAGCGCAGAGCCTCGAACCGAGGCCGCAGGCACGCCGTCGCAGATTGCGTTTGCTGTCGGCTGTGCCTCTGCGGGCGCCGGGGCGCTGGTGGTTTGCTGGCGCGCTCTATCGGTCGTCGTCGGAACAAACAGCCCAGATCTCTGTTGCCTTCTCGCGTCTCGGCAAACTAGCTCGTGGGAAAATGCAGGAACGTTGTTACTCTGTGTCAAATAATTATTACTTATAAGCTAATTATTTTCTGTTCCACTTGAAAGAATCGTTATGAAATAATAATCTGCTGAAAATGATTGTTTTAGTAATTTAAAAAAAAAACGTAATTGTTGTTTTATTAGTTTTTGCAAACATCATAGAAATATTGATGTGTTATTATTCTTATTAATGTGAGATTATTCTTATTGAGCTATGAAGTTATTTAACTATGTTACGCCACTTATTCCGTTCTAGAAACGTGTGCACCACGCTTGCATGCAACTCAAACTTAATTTTGGATTTCAGTACAGTAGCACAAGGAAGAGGAGGGGATCATGGAGCTCCCCCACGCCTAGGAGTCAATGATACCTCTTCAAAAATATACTTTTTAGTAATTTTCTATGCTAACGGAAGTCACACAAATTAACGTTAGAAATATTATCTGTAAGTCATCAAGTAAAAATAAATTTCATATTCGGCATAAATGAATAATTATTTATTAGAAAATATGAAGTCGGCTGGACAACAAACCAGAAATCCTCCACTCTCCCAATCCTGGGCGCACACCTACTGAAACACTATCTTTTGATCTTGGATTAAAATCACTCACCCGACCCTTCAAATCGATATAGCAATTATTATTTTTATAAAATATATGTTAATTGAAAGGTTCGGGAAAATGTAAACCAAAACAACATGACTTAGAAATCCTGCATATTTAAATAATGCTCCTTACGATGACTTGTCATATAAATCAAGACTTTTTGAAGCATTGATATTATCTTATTAATTCAAAAATATCCAGTGATATATAATGTATAAAATTTTTGCTGTCAGTGCGGTATACTCAGTTAAAATATTCTAATGTTTTACAATATCCCCAACAACATCGTGTTGCGTTAAACATTAAATATTCGAGAATGTGAGAAGTATCGAAGCAATGATTAATTTGAATCATAGCTACCAGCAGGTGTGCGAACTACGCGGAGAGCAGCGACTGTGGAAGGACTTTGCCATTACACGGAAGTACCCTCACTTGCTGTTAGTATGTGTGCCACGCCCTCTCACGGAGATAAGCAAAGGCTGCCGCCGAGCAAGATCACGTGGAGGTCATTTGAAAAACGACGCCCGTGGCATTACGGACGTTGCAGGTATGCGCTTCAATACCTTCCAAAGAAATCAAGTACATTAGTCTCAGTACGATTGTTTTTTATTATGAGATATTCTAATATATATAGGAATCACGTAGTTCACCAGTTATATGCAAATTTCATTCGGAAGATAACTTATTTATTATTTAAATATTGAACTTTGTAGTCAGTATTAACTTGTTTCGTAGATCATCATCATTATCTTTATTATGTTTTGCTGGATGAAATATCTGAAGACAGAGTCTGTTGAAGGAGTACGATTGAAAAATATATTATTAATTTTTCATATATTTTTGCGTGGTCCATTTATTTTTGGGCCTTCTGATTTATCTCAGTCCCAATAGTTTGTATTGTAAAGCAACCTTCGAGAATCTTATTTCTTTCGTTCTTTTAATATGTTGTTGCCTGTTCTGCTGAATCATTTTATCTACCTCAGCTATACAGGTATTTCTTGTCACCAGTATTTTCTTCTTAGAACTGATTAGTATTCTTATTTTTAGGTCTGGATTAGCTTTTGTGGTTTGCCCCGCCCTCTTCATAGCTGCTACGTACCCGCGCCTCAAAGACGTTTCTTCTCAAACTTTCGGTCCCTCATCAGTAGAATCGAAGTTCAACTATCAGAATATTTTACAATAACTAAATTTGGTCTCACATGCAAATTTTCATTAAAACCGTTCATTTGAAACCATTTTTGAGAAACCGTTGTTTGAGCGATTTGCAAAATCGTAACTTGGAGCTTATTTTCACAAAAACGTTTGAATGGTTAAGAAACTTCATAAGAAATCATTTGTTTGCCCAACCATATCTTGGGTGGTGGCAGATCATTAATAATTGATCTCACTGCGGTGTCTCTGATAGGGAGGTCCTAGGATTTCACTCCCGACTGTGGCGGGATTTCCTACATTAGCTATATAGCTAAGTCGAACTGAGCCGCTGTCTCAAGGACAATTCTAGCGATCTGCTGATCTGATCGGTAGTTTTCCTTGATGTCTCCGAACGAAACTTGGCGAATGCCGGACCAATACTCTAACAGACGAGCCATAAACCACGTACGGTCTTTCCTCCCCCCTCCTTGAGCTACTTTTCACTCCTTACTTACACACACTTACACTTGCATGCACTACATTACCACACATGTCGGGATACCAGACGGGAGCTCAGAGCTTGCGGGTGGGGCGCTGTCCCGTTGGTGCGAGAAACCCCGCAAACCGACATTGGTCGGAGCCGGATCTCGCCACCTAGCGGGGAAGAGCACCGCCACCTCCCACGATAAAACATATTCTACTCTTACGGGAATAACAACCTCAGCAGTTAACCTTAACGCGCCCAGAACCGCTAATCAATCGACCGACAATTCCCCGCACGCCCACTCCGCTGGCACCTCTATGCTGCAATGCACAATATCGAAATATTATTGCCCATTTCCATTTAGCCCTCTTCCCTCCAAACCTGTCTCACCCCTTCAGAGATTGGATTTAAAAAGGATCCTGTTTGGGGGAAGATACATCATAATAATAACATCTTTTTTTTCCTACCTGTAACAGATGGCCCTGCGTTTTTACGACACCCAACAAAAAGAATTCATTATATCGGTTCGTTTCATATCTTATAAAATAAGGTGATAATTTTATGAATTTATCGAACCTAAGTACATGGATAATCCCTATTACTTAGGTTATAGAAATCAGCCTTTACTTTTTACGCAAATTACACAAGTACACAGTTGGCAGAAATCGTGATACGGATCTCTCATTACGGCATCATTGGGCATGCACGGATGCATTCCTGGAGCTTGGAAATAACAAAGGAGAAATCGTAGATGAGAAATTACTTCGTAATTGGCATTTTAATTGTTCATTAGTGAGTGAGTGACGTAAATGAGAAGTGTGATGATAGAAAAATTAGAAGGCTCAGTCATGTAACGGTTAATTATCACAGAAATAATAATAATTGCAGAAAATGTTTTCGCACTACGTAAAAGGTGATTTACAAAAATGTAATATTTAGATCAGAAACATATTTTTTACATTATAAGCATACATTTAAGTTCTCAACATTCTTGCATCAAATGTAAACTTCCATGGAAAAATTCAGGCAATTAGCAAAATACCACAGAAGGGGAAGAAGAATTTTAGTTACTTGTAATATTAAAATATGAACGGTGATTTACTTTCTTTGCAAATAAGAGAATTTTCTTTTCCACTGTCAACATGCCCAATGGATCAAAACCTACATTGTCTTACTAGATCTGATTACCAGGTGGTTTCTAATGTTTACCAGACACTGCTGATATAAAGGTCAAAAAGTCACAGTTGGGACATAGGTCTAGTTCAAGGTCATGTAGTAATCTAGAATTTGCATACATTAAAATTATTTATGTAAAGAACGTTACCTATCAAGCTCTTCAGTGGCATACAGAAATAGTTTTATGCGGCCCGGATACTTTCTATTTTCTATGCTAGCAATTCTACGGGCTTAATGTTTCTTCTTGGGATAATAAGAAGTATATGTAATAACTCCGTTTCAATAATGAAATTCAGCCCAAAAAATAATTAGTGTGAAAAGAGAAGTTTATTAAATACAAATAAATCTGAATGAGAATAAAATTGGATGGAAATGATTAGTGAATATTATTATTTATTACCTGGAAGGATGAAGTGGTTGCTAAGAAAGTGTCAGTTTTGTAAAAAAATAAATGGATTGGGTTTTAGTCCAACGTTGAGCGTATTGTTTACTTTCCTTAGATATAAAAAATTGTTTTACTTTTGTAATCACTAAATGAAATATCACCCTTTATGTCTTCCATTATTGGATATTTCTTTGCCATTTCCGAAACAGTTCGTAAAACGTTTGAAATGTATCAAAATACAATTATGTATCTAAAACAATCGCGTTTCCAGATTTCTCTTGGTTTATGCAACTAGATATGGATGGAGATAAAAGTAACTTGAACCAACTCTTATTGGGTGACAAATTGCAGGTTTTCGAGTATGAATGAGTGAAGAGAAGTACAGGAAAGAATTAATAATAAATGCTTATTTTGCAAACAAGTATGAAGAAGGTAAATTGGAGTTGGTGAAACAGGATTAGGAAAATTGAGTCGGGTAAAAAGTGTTAAAAGTAAAAAATAAAGAGCAAGAAGCGATAAGCGAGCGGCAAGGCCACACGCGGAGGAAGAAGGAAGCATGTAGAATGGAAAAAAAGTAGGAAGGGTGAGTTAAGAGAAAGTATAGAAGATATCGAGAATAGGGGTGTAAAGGGAAAACATGTGGTATGAAAATGACGTGATAAAAATCTTAGATGAAGTTGGAGAGAATGCAGATGCTTGAATATAAAGAGAGAAAGAGAGAGTGAGAGAGAGAGAGAGAGAAAGAGAGAGAAAGAGAGAGATAGTGAGGGACGCAGGGAGGGAAGGAGGGAGAGAGGATGAGTGGTACATATTCTATAGCAGGGAAGAAGAATATACGAAGGAAAATAACGATAAAAATACTAGAAAGGAATGCTAGTGGAGATTGTCGGAGTTGGATAAAGTGGTAAAAGAGAGTGCGGCAGGTGGCACTGCCAAAGTCGCAAGTGACGTTGATGGTAGTTTCGGCGCCCGCGCTGTTGCGAAGGTTGTGGCGAAGACTCATGCAGCAGAGGTAACGACGGCGGCGGCGACGATATATGCGGTAATGAGGTGCTTTTTAATTAATGACAGATTAGAGATTGCGGTCGCATCAACGGCTAAGGTCATTATTCCCGTAAGTGTTGTGCATGTTTCATTGCGAGAGATGGTGGTCGACGGCTTGCGGAATTTTTCCCCAACCAGGTAACTCCTATCAGCTTCACACCACCCCAGTCGGGACAAGCTTTAAACTCCCGACTGGTCTCTCGACATGTGTAGTGCGTGTAAGTGTAAGCAAGGGGTGAGGATAGATCAAGGACGAGGAAGGAAAGACCGCGCGCCGTTCCTGGTCCGTTGGTTAGGGCACAGCTCCCACGTTTGCCTTGGGACGATCGGCGAAAATACGGACAACCACCGAACAGAGCTGCAGGCAGGTAGATTTGTCCTCCAGTCCGTATTACCGGTGGCGGCAGTGGCGACGTCAGCAGCGGATCAGCTAAGCGGCTTCCAAGCGGCCCTGCTTCACGGCGTTCGGCCTTGCGCCCAAGTAGGCCGGCGGCGGCGGCGGCGGCGGCGGTAATCTGGAGCGGCCACCGCCCCGCACACGGGGCGTCTGCCCCCGAAAATCGAGGGGAACCTGTCGCGTGAAGGCTGCCCCCGGCCCCCGGGGCAAACGGACCTTTCCCGACGCCAACGCGCGCGCTCGCCCCAAGGCTCACGGCCACGCGCGTCTCCCGGGATCTCAACTGCTGCAACTATCATCTATCATGGTCCCACAATTTAATACTATCTCACGTATGTTTAATTAGAACGTACATACTACTATATTCTTTGGTGCCGCAACTCTTGGGATGTTGACGAATACAGGTCCAGACGACGTTTTTGTGAAATTATAAAGTAATGAACGCGGATTTGTGTGATTATATTAATACGTGTAGTTTGCCTTTTTACGTTACATGTTTAACAAGAAAAAGTCACACCATGTCATACGCCGGATTCGAACCCGCAATCCTAGTAGAGAGTGGCCGCCGCTGTATCTGTCTGCGCAATGCAGGCAAGCAAGAATAGCGAATGCTATTTCGAAACTTGGAAAAATGTTTCATGGGGAGATGTCAAAATCATGTGTAATTTGTGGTTGTGCGTAAATGTCTGGCTTGTATAATTCGCAACAACACTCGTTTAACATGGAATTTATTGACATTTATTACATAACTGAAGGGGAAAATGACTGTTCTAGATAAAGAAGTTTTACATATAACAGTTGTCCCTGTAGTTGAATATCATGTGTCATTTCATGTCTATGTTTGCCTGTTTAAAATGAACAAACTTTCGCATTTGTACAAAATACGGCTCTAAAACTAATTTTCTATTTACTATATACTATTATGCATTGTAATTAAAATTCAGAGAAAAATATCAAACAGGGAAGAAACAACATGATATTTAAGTGAAACCCAACTACTGAAACCTACCTGACTTGAAGTAGGCGAAGGTTGCTATTACGTAAGTAACCAACTGAACGAACGCTGCAAGAATCATTGAACGTTTACTTTCTCTCGAATTTCCAGGACATTACCTTTATTATATTTTCAGGTATTTCGGTATCATCATTCTTGGAACATTCTCAAAGCAATAACAACAACAACAACAACAACAACAATAATAATAATAATAATAATAATAATAATAATAATAATAATAATAATAATTGCAACGAAAACTGCGTAAAATGCACAGAAAAACACAATAAACTACTGATTCTGCTTGACATGAAATGTGAGGCATAAGAAATATTAAAGAAATTGTGATGAGATAAACTACTCTAGGGACAATATTTAAAAAGAAAGGTCAAGATAAACAAGAACAAAGACCAATCATTTATACATGATTTAAAAGTGATGAATGAAGTCACAACTGGTAGCAGTTGTAATAGCTGTCAAAGAGCAGGCATTAGAAACAAGACATTGTGTTTAAACGGTTGTCAAAATTTCCCAGGATGATAAATAGCGCATTTATCACGAACAGGCTGAAGGACAAGGAAGAAAACGAAAGGTCGCGCGCGGTCCGCGGCCCATTTTTGGCTCCAGCATTTGCCTGATGTTATAAAAATTCTAAAAAACCAATAAGAGCAACTGTTAGAATACTCCTCTAGATTGCTCCTGAATTCGACCGAGCTGCATTTAGCTAGTGTCGAAAATGCTGCCCTCTTCGGGACCCAAACCATTGGACCATCCGGACAGAAGCACCACGGCGACATAATTTGTTGCCCTGAGCCACCTCACCCGGTTATAAAGATAATGTTGTTCCAGAATTTGTAATTCTCCCACATTTAAACAACTTTCGAGAATAAGAACGACATAAAACTATAGTTGTTTGGTTTTCCAGTTTCAGAGTATGGCAAATATAGTACTTTTCGGTTGTACCTTTTCTACAGTTATTCCGTTTGTGTGATGTATTCGCAATGGGTTCAGCTAGTATTAACAGTAATAATAATAATTTTAATATCTTATTTAAATAATTATTATTGCTATCATCTCGAAATTTCATTTACCGTTGTTTTAGTTTTATGATCAATTCAATTCAAAATCACGCGTGTTAAGCGAGATTAAACGAGACCCGGTGCATTTCGTGCGTATGCTTCACGCAGCCCGCGCACGCAGGTGCGATACGTTGCGAAGCCCCGCGGCAGACGTCGCTAATTGAAACAGATTTCCCTCCACGAACGTCCGCTTCGCCCCCGGTCCCGATTCCCACCCCTCCGATCGACGCTCGAGATAAACGTGGCGAAATGCGCGGATGCCTAGAGAAACTCATCTGTTGCGTATGTAGAAACGTCTCTGTTTAAAATGGCGGATCTGTCAAGCTCCGAAATTAGAATTGTTGCTCTTGCAGAACTTGGTTTAACAGATATACACCATTAAAACCTCTCCCATCGTTTTCATGCTGATTAATATAGAAGAATTATGAAAGACAGTTGCACGCTAGTGTATTTCTTTCTTTGTTTTCTGCGAAATCAAATTATAAAGTAAAAAGTGTTCGTAAATACATTGAAAATACAATCTATAATTACGAATGGGTTACTCTGTCTTTCGTTTATTTAACAGACGTAACATTTTAGGAGTGGGCAACCAAATTTTTGATCCTGGACTTTCGGATCTTTTTGAAGGATGATGGGTCTGGGAGTGGAGCCATGTGTAATTGAATCGATTAAAAACGGATACTTAATTAAAATTTCAATTAAAATCACATATTTACCAGAAGTCATTTTTTGAATGAAAAGTGGTGCCCTTTCCTTTGTTAATAAATCTAATGATGAAAGTTTTCTCGAAAACCCACCTCACTTCAACAAACTGCTCTAATTATTCCATAATAATAATATCAGAGATATCGTAACACGTTCCATCAAATAACTGCAATTTTTTTAGGAAATACAACATAGTATGCGTACTAGGTGTTTTGGATTCATTCCCAGAGTTTATGAAGATAGTTGGCTTTCGATCCATGAGTCCGTTTATTAGTGTTGTCCCATAATTCTCTATCAGATTTAAATCCGGTGTGTGCGCCTTCTATTTCAAAAACGGAATTTTTTGATCTTCTTAACATTGTTTCAAATCATTTCCTGAATGTATTTCCATACGAGGCATCACATTTTTAACATAACATGACATCTTTGATAATGCATTTATTCACACATTATTGCAGCATTGTTTATCACTGTTTTCAATATGAGTTTTGTTGTTTTTCGTCGTACAATGACCTTCTGTCGTTCACTTTTTCAGAAGAGAACCCGAAATTTTAGTTCACCAGATCACATCACATCACATTATACCATAATTTATGCGCTATGATTTTGACGACAGCTACTTATATGTATGAGTAATGACAAATTGGAACATACGTATGTGTTATTGAAATATGAATATGAAAACAGTAACTGGTACACCACACAATTCCGTCTTGGTGATTTTCTTTGATTCGTTTGAATTAGTATGTTGTCTTAAAAAAATATCTCAGCTAAGACCGTCAGGCGGTAATTGAACGATTATTAAAACAGTCCACCAAGAGCGCAAGAACTTTGAATAATGCAAGTACTTGGCAGTAATATTGAACCTCTAGAGAAAAAGAACTGTACAACTCAACAAAATTGCGACGCAATCGTCTCGCGACGTAATGTTTGACTGTGCGTATCCATGACAACCCGGTAACAATGCCCTTGCCCGTAGGTAAAGCTGCACCTTGACTTTCTTCCGCCTTGACCTCGTTGTTCTGGGCGCGCGCCCCCGCGTCGCCTGGGGCGAATGCGTCTGGAGATCTCACGCCTTGGCGACTCGCACCTCCTCCTCTCTCACTGGACGAGTGGCGGTGGCGGCGGCGGAGGGAAAACGCCCAATTTGCAGGCGGCCGCGCACAATGAAAGTGAAAGGCGGCGCGACGCGGAGTCGGGCGGGTGGCGAATTACGTAAAACGTACTCGTGGCGG